CACACACACACACACCTGTTTCATAAGACAATCACACACACACACACCTGTTTCATAAGACAATCAAACACACACACACACACACACACCTGTTTCATAAGACAATCACACAAACACACACCTGTTTCATAAGACAATCACACACACACACACACACACACACACACACACCTGTTTCATAAGACAATCACACACACACACACCTGTTTCATAAGACAATCACACACACACACACACCTGTTTCATAAGACAAGCACACAGGTATATCTTATTCCTAATCCAAAAGGTAAGTGCAAGCCACATATCTTCTTCAATCTCCTTCCCACATATATTTGTTCTCAAAGTCTAACAACTACCACAAATATCTCAAAGTTGCAAGTACATTCAACACAATTTCTGTGACCACAAAAACATGTGAACAATTTCTACGACCACCACAACACAATGACATATGAACAATTTCTACGACATGTAGATTTCCATCAGGTAAGAAATTCCACCAGCAGTGGCCAGATGTCAGAAGAACAGGTATACATAGCACAAGTATTGGAAGCCACACATGACATCTGAGACCACAAGACAACAGTAGAAACACATTTTTCCTTCAAGGAAAAACAGAAAAACTGCCCAAGCAAAACAAGTTGATGTGAAAGATACACATCTCTCCTCCACTGGTCCAAGTAGTTCAAGTTAATGCTGATACGGTTCACATTCCAAATAGCACCATAATTCACCATCATTTCAATGACACAAAAGAAAAGCAGCAAAAGATTTTCGGTAAACAAGGTTTGAATAAACATATCAAAACACTGGGCCAACGAACCCTGTGTACAACAGCTGTTGTGAAAGAGCATCCTGTTAGAAACATTCTGTGTCACTTGAACAATGTCCACCCGTGGATTCACCACACCTTCCCGAACGTTCACACACTTTCCCGAACGTTCACACACCTTCCCGCACCTTCCCGAACGTTCACACACCTTCCCACACCTTCCGACACCTTCCCGAACATTCCGACACCAGCTGTTCCTGCTTCAGACTTCGCCCTCGCTGTTCACTGGAAGAAAGTGACCCAGCTTGACACTCATTGACAGCAAGCCATACTCCCAACATTCCAGATTCTGATCAGGGGAATCTATCACAACATTAACTATCACCTAGATACCAACTACTGTATCTTTCTGACAGATACACTGGACCCTCTGTATCTGTGGTGCTCTAGACAGATAGACCCTCTGTATCTGTGGTGCTCTAGACAGATAGACCGTCTGTATCTGTGGTGCTCTAGACAGATAGACCCTCTGTATCTGTGGTGCTCTAGACAGATAGACCGTCTGTATCTGTGGTGCTCTAGACAGATAGACCCTCTGTATCTGTGGT